GGCTAGCGCAGATAGTCCTCGTGTAGCTTTGCGCGAAATTCAAAAACAAACAAACATTAATTATGTTTTGATCAGTTACGATTACAAATATTTTTTTGGCTCTTTAAAAATATCTTGAAGTTTGCCCGCGAACCTATTTAACTGGAATCATTTTGTCCGTTAGGTTTCCGTTTATAGCAAACTACAGAACAAATCTTTCTAAAATTACATTATGCACTCAATGGTATTAAAATAACTTACATTAAAGCTTAAATCAGCAACAACAAAAAATTCAAGTAACAAATTCGATAGTTTTCCATCCATTCAGAATAAAAGTTTTTCATGTTTAAAGTTAAAGAGTAAATTATTTCTGTATTTCAGACTAATCGTTGTGAACATGTTTTGTTGCTATTGCAACGCGGAATACAACGTTAATGTTTGTTTTGTTGAATTTCGCGCAGAGTTACTCGAAGGTTATCTGCGCTAGCTGTCCCTCATTTTCAAGTGATAGACTAGAAGGAAGGCGGCTAATTAACACTGCTCGCTACTCTTTAGCGACGAACAGTGCAATTAACTGCACGTCATAACGACCCCATGGCTGAAAGATTGAGCATGTTTGTTAATGGGACTCGAACTCACGACCTGCAAGTTATAAAGCGAAGGCCCTAACCACCAGCCAATGCCAGGCACGGAATCTAACGAGAATATATTCCCTAAAAATTACAATTACAGACATGCGCATCAAAATTCTGGAGATCTTTTGACACATTTTTGTTTTAATATGAGTTAAGCTAGTGTGGTAAGTACAGTGTTTTCATTGTAACTCGTGAACGATATAATACATATATACTACCTTATAGCACAGTACACGAGGTACTGGTCCAAAAGAGATGCTTATTCCTGCCTTAATAGTGTATCATTATCGTAGTTAACTGTAAAATGAAAGAAGATTTGACACTTTATTTATTTGACAGTATTGCTACTACAATGTATCTTGTGCTTTTTTTTGTTGTTGTTAAGGTCTCGCCCAGTTGGATGCGAAGTCCAGCGGGAAAATGGGATCATACGCGTTAGTTTACTACTTTGCCACAACCATGTTTGCTGCTATCGTTGGAATCATCCTTGTTTCCAGTATACATCCTGGGGACCCTTCGATCAAAGAAGAGGTCGGATCTGGTACTGAAGACAAGAGTGTCTCAACACTGGACGCCTTTCTGGACCTGATCAGGTTAGCTTCAACTGTATACAGACGAACTTAAGTTAAATACAATATACACACAAAACAGAGTTGCTACTAATACATCTAAAATACGAATTTTGTATACACCAATGAGGTTCGTTTCTGGAAGCTCGTGGCTGTAAGCAACAGTAATGTGTTGTCTCATAAAGCTGATAAAAAGTATCAGAATACTGGAAATATCATTATGGCTTAAACATAATTAACATAACACCTAAAGATTAAGAGTTCTTTATAAGAATATTACAGCTTCTCTTATGTAGACTGTAATAGTGTTAGCATAGGTACCTTGCGAGTTCTGTAAAATATACAGAAAAAAGCTCTTAACCTTTCTTTCGGTAATCTTTTCAGAAATATGTTCCCGGAAAATCTTCTACAGGCATGCTTCCAACAAGTGGAAACAGTTTACGTCGAAGAAGAAGCAAAACCAAGTTTCATCCGAGCGACAATGAATATAAGTAATTACACTGACAACGACAACGTTACACAATACGTGGACAAAAGGACATTTGTCTACAAAGATGGAACAAATGTTCTGGGTATGAATATATCAAATTTTTCTAGTGTAGTTTCGTTTGAGAAAATTTCACTGCTTCACTCTTATCGTAATTGTATAAACCAAACGAGACTTGGAATTATATACAGACATAAAATAATATGTGAAACCAAGATGTTCTTGCTTTTTAAAGGAGTATTATCCATTTTCAACAAATACAATTTTTAAACGAATTCAAAGTTTTATTGCTTTATAAAGGAGTGTTATCTATTTTCGACAGATACTATTATTAAGTCAATTCAAAATTTTCTTATTTTTAAATACAATTCTTAAGTGAATTCAAAGTTGTTGGTTTTTCTTTTTTTCTTCTTCTTTTGTTATAACTCTAAAAAAGAAGAAAAAAGGCGTTTTTATCTTTCATGAATATATATATCCCTCCTTTCGTGTGGACACACGTTTTGTAGGTTTTGTTTTTCAGCCTCCTACTTTCATGGGATGTAGAAATGAACTTTTCCCATATTCCAGCACTCCTTCTCTCGTGATTAAAGGTTGCATTTGATGTATTAGTGGTCCATCAGCATATGCAGAGCCAAGCTTATTTAATGCTATCATCTTCTTTGTCAGCTAGACAATGATATTTTCCTTCAAAATTCAGTTTCATTAACGGAATACACAGCGTGGTCACAAGTAAATAGACACCACCTTTCCAGAAAAAATGAAATTTTTCAGTCATGTTCACATGAAGGGTGGGAGATCGAGCTTAGTGGAGTGCGTTGGCATCATAAATTTTGCGAAACACGTCGAAATATTGGAGGAAGGACTCTTGCCACTTTATTCCTCGGGTTTCGTGGACAAGAACACAACGTTGTTCCAGGAAGATGGAGCACCGTTTCACACTGCTAGAAACACCCAAAAGTGGCAGGAAGAAAATGGTATCCAGAAGTTGCCCTGGCCGACCCAATCCCCTGACATGAACCCCATCGAAAACCTTTGGGCCATACTCGACCGCAAGTAAAGAAACAACCAAAAACCAACTTCGAAGAGAGATCTACTCCAAGTTTTGAAGCAAGAGTGGGCGAAAATCCCACAATCTAAAATTGACGAGATGATTCTCACGATGCCCCAAAGGATCAACGAACTCCACGAAGCGAAAGGAAGATCTACTAGATATTAATTAAATTATAAATATATCAACCTCACCAAGAGTTTTGGCTCAACAGATTGCAGCCAACTGTGAAGCATGGTGGTTTCAGCGTGATGGTTTGGGGAGCTGTTTGGGTTCATTCTCCACACCCATATCCTTCCACTTTCCAAAAATTGAGCGAATCTTGATTCGTCTGAGAACAATACGGTCTTCCAAAAGTCCAGAGGCTTGGTCATAATATCACTTGCCCACTTACTTCGTCTGACTATGTTGGCAGGTCTTAATAAGAGCTTCAGTCTAGCTGCTCTGCAATGATAACCCAATCTGTGGAGAATCCGTTGAACAGATTTCGGGCTCATCCCACCAACTTTGGCTACTTCTGCAGTCGTTAATCTGGGATCCATTTCGATGCTCCTCTTGACAGCCCTTTTTGTCCTCTCCGATGGACCAGAACGACCCGGACGCTGCTCAGTTGTTTCCTGAACTGCACGATGATTCTGTTGACTATCGAAAGCAGGATTCCCAAATTCTGCGAAATTTGCAGCTGACTTATTCCACCATCTACTTGACCAACTATCCTTCCTCTAACAAAATCTGACAATTCAAAAGAACCTTGAGTTTTAGGCATGTTGTAGCACAAGATAATTAGTGTGCGGACCATTTTCATTTATATA